CCAAGTCACTTGCCTGTCCTCGGGCCCCCGATCATGGGGGTCACCGTGACCTGTGGGAGGCGCACCCCTGCCCGCCTGTGCCCAGGCCCTGACCCCCGGCTGCGCTTCTGCTTGCCAGCCTGTGGCAGAAGCAGCGCAGGCCTTTCCTTAGCAGATTTCCCCGATTTTAAGTGGCAAAAATATTGGCAACAGGGATAATAGCGAATTACAACATGCGCTCCCGTGAGAGAATCCATGAAGAGAAAAACGCGTGTCCAGAGCTCCGTGCTGTACCCCCAAAGCCACGTGGAAAGAGGTGGAAACTGGCCAAGCGGGTGTGGCCACATGGGGACTCTTACTCTGGCCGTGACTCTTACTCTGGTCACGGGGCGCCACCAGTCTTCTTAGCTTATCTGTTCATAGTCCTTTTATTTTTCTATAACTTCTTGCATTTTTTAAGATAAGAATTGTGGGCCTCCCTGGTGGCGCAGGGGGTTGAGCACAGCACTGTGAAGGTGTTCGCAGCCTCTGTGCATGAGTTCCATCCCCAGCCGGCAAATATGTCATTAGGTAATTGCAATGTAAGACGATAAGCGCATTGCTATCAATAGATACCTCTAGAAGGCACTGACGGTGAGCAGAGCATGAAGGCCGCCTCATCACATGTAAGAGTGATAAAACGGGTGACACCCGGAGATATGAACAGGTGTGTGGACCCCAGGGAACAACCCACATGGCACAGCAGACCTCTCCTGTCTCCCCCGCTGCTCCCCTCAGCAGTGTGTTTCAGTCAGTCTGCCTGTTCTGCTCCCCACTCTGTCTCTGGTGAATCCTCTCACCCCCCGGCATCTCTGGCCTGTACCCCAGCTCTTGTATGCCTAAATAAATAAATAAATCTTTAAAAAAAAGATAAGAATTGTATGTATTTATATGGTATATCATATATATTATATAACTTTCTATATATACATGTATGTATTTTCTCTAACTTTTTTATCGTCATCAACTGTCCATCTATCTGTCTTAGGAGAGCTGAAAAGACTCAGGTGTGAGCATATAGGGCACACCTTGGGGCACCTAGACCTTGGGGGGTGGGAGTTCTTAATTGAGTATGTAGGCCCCATGCCAGTAAGTGGGGCAGGTTCAAAGGAATTTGTGCTGTTACGTCTACTCCCGGCTTGGTGTGATGAAGAAAAGGCGGGTTAGGAGGTGGTTTCTCCCTGGAGACATAAATTATGATTTAACCTATGGGAGGTAATGAAACAAGTGTGCCAACATGGAACTTCACGCGTGATGACACCCGTGGAGAAGCACACAGGGCGCCCTGCCGTGGTGGAATGGTGTGTGATCTGGCCTGGGGTGGGGTGCGGACCAGAATACTGAAGACAGGGTTTGCTGGCATGCGAAGTTTCCATCGGGGGCAAGAAAATCAGGAAGCAGATGTAAACAGGGCAAAGAAATAAACTGCGGGAGGGCAGCAGACCAGAGGAGGCTGGTGAGATGCTCCTTCTCTGGCCTGCGTCTTGAAGGCATGGTTGCAGGCGTGACAGCAGGAGCGAGGCCGGAGGTCTGTCTGCGGGGGGCTCAGCCTGGCCTTCCCAGGCGCGGGCGGCATCCAACCTGCGCGCCCAAGCACTTGCTTGACTGTAGGCAGAGTTCATACCTTGGTTCTTCTCCAGGCACAGGGCATGAAAAGGAGCCGTCTGCCCCATGTCTCCACAGTTCCTTCTGTGCTTAAAAAAAAAAAAAATCGAAGAGCAGCTTTGAAGGAACACGGTGTCATTTCACTCTTGGGGAAGGAGCTTGCCCTTTGAACTTGCAGCTCCTCAGTGTCCTGTCTTGGCTGACTCACACAGCCGGTCTCACGACAGGAGGGCTGAGTTGGCTAGTCCTGAGCTGGACACAAGCTGCCCTTCATCACCCAGCCCCAGGCGCTTCTGCCTTGACACACCAGCATTCAGAGGCGACCAGGCCGCGTCCTCACGCCCAACCCCCTCTTAAGCCACCACCCTCCCCCCCCGGGTCAACTTAGAGGGCAAATATGTCATTAGGTAATTGCAATGTAAGACGATAAGCGCCTTGCTATCAATAGATACCTCTAGAAGGCACTGACGGTGAGCAGAGCATGAAGGCCGATCATCACATGTAAGAGTGATAAAACGGGTGACACCCGGAGATGTGAGCAGGTGTGTGGACCTGGCAATGCTAACACGTGGGTGCGGCCGAACGGCGGGTGAATGTGCTGCTGTGAGCCCAACTTCAACAGTGAGGTCGCGATTCCAAGGCCCCCAGGATTGTCCTTTCACGCCATAAAAGAAAAGAAATTAATAATGGTTGTCAGCGTGGGGTGTCTAAGGAGCAGCCCGGGATCTGCGCATCCTCAGCGACGCCGACTGCTCGGGCCTGTCCCTTCGCCTCATCAGGTGAGGCGGCCACTGTCCTCCCTCGGCCACTTCCCGCGCTGTGTCCCGTCTGGGCAAGGAATGAGCCCAGCTGTCTCTGACAGCAGACACGGGAGGACACTCGGGTCTGGGGTGGAGAAATTCACTAGAAACGGGGAGCGCCGTCTGGGGGTGCAGAGCTCGGAGCTCCCCACTTCCCTCTCGCCTGGGCTGAGCACTTGCTAAAGGAAAAGGGATTGGCAGCCCCAAGCGCAACGCCTCAAATTCAGAAGCAAAACAGGACTTTGGTGCTGGCCGTTACACATTTGCCTGCTCCACCTGCGCCAGCACTTGCAGAGACAGAGGGGCCTGCCCGCTGCCACTGGAGAGCACATTTCTGAAAAATTGTTTTCCACGAATCTTGCGAATTACCGCGCTCAAGTATTCCAGGCTGCAGCCAGACCGACCTCTGGGGAGCGATTATCAGGGAAACAGCCACGAACAGCAAGGCCATCTGCCTGGATCTGAGCGGGGAGCACCCTTTCTGTGCGGGGCGCAGCCTCCCTCAATTGCCAGCAACGCTGCAATTAATGGGGTGCTAGAGAAGGGCTTTCTCCTCCAGTTGCTAATTAGACCTCCCGGAGACGCCTGCACGCACACCCAGGGGGTCACGTTTCCGCTCTTGTGTGCAGAGCAGTGTCGGGGAGCAGGGCCCCTGCCCCCCGACAGCCCTCCCCAGGCCCTTGCATCTGCCCGGAGGGGTCACGCTGGAGGAAAGCCGAGGACGGGCAGTACCTTTTATTTCCCGGTGGGAGGCGGGGGCATCATTTCATTACAGTGTTGGGAGAATCAAAGATAGTGATGGGTGGTGTTTGCTTCCTTTGTGCTTGCATGGTGTCCGCATGGTGAAGGTGACCCGGGGACACTCCCACCTGTAGTCGTAGCCATGGGAAGCTCCCGGGTGGTTGCTGCTTCCAGTCGTGCAGCCTGTGTCCTGCACAAGGATGCCAGCTGAAGGGGCCGTGGGGCCAGAAATCCAGCCCATGGACAACCTGACCAGAAAGTCGGTGATTTTGTGAATCTGTGGATTAAGAATCTGAATCCTTAAGTACACACCACAGTGGGTTTATAAACTAGTAGTTACTGGGCTTTTGCATCCTGGAAACCAGCTTTAACATGTACCTGCCAGTAGCCAGTGAAGCCTCACAGAAGCTGAAGGCCAAAGCAACCCTTTTAAAGCTGGGATAGTGTCTGTGACTGGTGCTTCCTGGAGAATCATTCACCTTAGTACACCAGACAATGTTTTACTTTTCACATTCAATCTGAAGATCTATTACTACAAGTAACTCAATGGGGTTATTTATTCACAATCTCAGCCTTATAGTTAACTTTCAGTTGTAGATATAGGGTTTGCAAAGAAAGCAAACACTAATTTTTTTTAAAGATTTATTTATTTATGCATACAAGAACTCGGGTACAGGCCAGAGATGTGGGGGGTGAGAGTATTCACCAGAGACAGAGCAGGGAACAGAACAGGCAGACTGACTGAAATACACTGCTGAGGGGAGCAGCAGGCGAGTCAGGAGAGGTCTGCTGCACCATGTGGGTAGCTCCCAGGCTGGGGATCGAGCTCGTGCTGCAGTGGCTGCGGACAGCTTCATAGGTTGCATCTTAACCCCTTGCGCCACTAGGGAGGCCCTGCAAACACTAATTAGAAGACATATGCACATAGGCACTATCACAGGATTTTTTACTTGTCACAGTCAAGTCTTGAAAACAACCTAAGTACCCCAAAACAGATGAGTGAATTAAGAGGGTGTGGTATGTATATACACTGGAATACTAGTCAGCTATGAAAAAGGATAAACCCTTGATTTTGTGACAACATGGATGGAGCTAGAGGGGGTTATGCTAAGTGAGGTAAATCAGAAGGAGAAAGACAAAGACCAGATGATTTCACGCCTATGTACAATATAAGGAAGCAAAGCAAAGGAACAGACAAAACTAAACCAAAACCTAAAAAGGGGCCTCCCTGGTGGTGCAAGGGGTTAAGACGCAACCTACGAAGCTTCCACAGCCTCTGCAGCACAAGTTCGATCCCCTGGCCAGCCAGGGAGCAACCCACAAGGTGCAGCAAACCTCTCCTGACTCACCCGCTGCTCCCCTCAGCAGTGTATTTCAGTCAGTCTGCCTGTTCTGTTTCCCGCTCTCTCTGCGGATCCTCTCACCCCCCCCGCCACTGCACCTCTGGCCTGTACCCCAGCTCTTGTATGCATAAATAAATAAATCTTTAAAAAAAAACCCTAAAAATCTGACTGTAGATTTGAGGCTACAGAAGGGGAGCAAAGTGGGAGGGGGCACAATGGACTCTGGTGGAGGACAGTGGGTGTTTGGTGGTGCGTGTGGTGACATACATCTGAAGAAGTGTGACCCTGCACCCCTAAACCATAGACTGTCGCAAGCCAACATTAATAAAAAGTAATATAAGAATAAAAACATGTCATGGGGCTGGAGGATGTGATGGCAAATTACGAAGCGTTGGCACTCTAAGCAACACTGCTGGGCAGTTGAGATGTTGACATCCCTTCCTGGGGCTGGGAGGTCGAGTTCACCAGGGTAAAGGTTGCCGGGTGACTGATGTCAACGTTGTGCTCACAATTCTGCTGACTCAGTCTTGTCCGTGTCCCTGGCACATTGTGAGCCTTTGGAGCAGAACCCTAAGCTCAGCCCTCTCTAGCTGAGGGAGCCTAGGCGTATCACGGTGATTCTGAGCTACAGCTTCCTCTGCAAAATGCCTCTTTCCATCGTCACAACCGAGTAGGACGGGCAAGGCGTCTAGCATGAACGGAGAACAGCGTCCTGGGCTCTCGATCACGACTGGTCTCCCTCTGCCTTAAAAGCCTTCCACGACTTCTGTGTAAGTTTCCGAGGGCTGCCATCACACAGGGCCACCAACCGGGCGTCTGCAAGCAACAGATTTATGCTCCAGCTCTGGGGTCGGATGTCCCAAATTAAGTGTCAGCTCTGCTCCTCCAAACCCTCTGGGAGAGGCACCTTCCAGCTTCAGGAGGAACATCTTCCAGATGTTCCTTCTTTTATGCAGCATAACTCCATCTGGTCGCCGGCTTTCCCGTGTCTGCGCCCGTGCTGGCCCTCTGGGTCTCTGTGTCCACATTTCCTCTTATTTGTTTCTCATTTAACCACAAATCAATGTTAAGTAAGGACCGTCCAACAGAGCATTCTCTCAGCCACTTGTGATCTGGATCCTGGCGTATGAGATCAATTTCTATCTGGTCCACAAAAGTCTCGAGACACTTCTGTTTCGCATACAATAAGTCAGAGCTAGCTATTTCTCACCAGCGCGTTCTGGAGATAAGCTAGCAACGCTTCCTCCTGCTTTCTTCTTAATGCCAGTGAAGATTATTTTTGTTCCAGGGATATACTTCCTGGGATACTCCAGGCACTCCATGATGGGGTCCTCTCCCCAGGGGCTGCATTTGCTCTGCTGGCATGTGTGTCTTAGTCAGCTCTCAAGGGCTAGTTTTCAGCTTGTCTTTGTCTTCCACACTTGATATTGCACATACTGGTGACACCAGCCCGTATTTATCTTTCATTATTTTTCCCCGTTGCAACATCGTTTTCATAATTCTCACAATTGTTACAGAATCTAGTTGATGTACTGCTATTTTCTGGATCTTTTTAAGTCCCTCATTAAGAATGTTTTGATGGAATCAAGAATTCAATGATGTCATAGAACTATAGGATGCTGCTAGACCAGTCTCCCCAAATTGGTACTTTGGTCTTAGCAGCTGTGATTTGGAAACACAGCAAGTGCTGGAGTCAGACCACCAGGAGTCACATCTCAGACACAGGTCTTTCCAGCTGCTGAACTTGGTATGCTAATAACAGGTAGAACAATGGATAAAGCGTGCATGAAAACTGCATTGGTCCTCGCCCAGGCCAGGACGTGCAAGGGCCCACACAGAAGCTGCTAAACAGGCTACATAGCCCTGAGCAGTGGGATGGAAGAGATAGAGGGGCAGGGGGTGTTCCCATTTTACCACATGTACGTGTATTACAATATTTTTCGACAAGCAAGTATTTTTCTGGTTTTTAGAGAACCAATTTAAAATGAAAAAAAAAAAAAAAAAGCACCTATTTTGAGAACAGGTAACCATTTGGAAACTAAGGGGATCTGACATTTTGAATTTCCCTGTGCCTGTTCCTCTGAGTTACTTACCAATGGGAAAGGTAAAAATGGGCAAAGGTTACTTGCAATGGAGAAAACTTTATTCCTCCTCCTCCTGTTGTCTCTGATTATAATTTCTTTGTAGCCCACTGAGAGCTCATTCAGGCACCTGAGTCTCACTACCTGGCTTCCTTTTTAGAGAATGAGAAGACAGGAGCAGGGGCGGGGGGTGAGCCAATACATCCTTTCATTAGAATTGCTGAAGGAGTATTTTGAATTTTTGTTTTTGTGGTTGCTGGTGTTGTTTTTAATGGTTTTATTTTTCAGCTGAATCCTGATTTTTGTGATCATAAGCAAGTATCTTGCTTTTCTAGACAACAATCCTTAGTTTCAAAAATCCTGGAAAGTAAAAGTATATATTCAGTAAAATTTTAGATCATTGCATGTCTCCTGGATATATGAGTGATGATTCCTCAATTATTTTTCTACAATTATGTTAAATTCTGTTTTCCCAAAGAATGCAGACTCAGGTTTCCAAGCCATGCTCCTTTCAACATCCGCTTTTAAAAAAAAAGTGTGTACTAGTTTTAACATGACAATTCTTTCACTTGACTGCTCTCACTACCATATTGGATATATTTACTGGATATATATGCTGGATATATTTACTGGAAATATATTTACTACATATATTTGCTAAATAGACTTACAGATATTTCCAGTAAATATAGCAAGTTTCATCTTCAGTTATAAACAGGCTGACGCAGATCAGTTAATGTTATTTGAATACTTGACAGAAAAAAAACCTGTTGTCATTCTGCTGGGTAAATACAAGAGCTAAGTGCAGGTGGAGCAGTCAATGGGGGTGTCTGGAAACAACCTGTACGTCAGTAGTGGGAATACAGCGATGGCTTGAACGACCCGTGCCCTTATATGGTCGGGCACTGATTTGAGTAATGCTGCTTGTGGCCGCCAGTTCTCATTATCCTTTAACACTAACACCACCAACCTTGTTTGGAAAGAATTTACTGATCAGGGAACTAAACATGATGGTAAACATGGATGACATATGCTGAGCTGAAGGCTGCTGTGAAAACAAGGACATCGTGTCTTCTGCGGGTCCAGGAGCACGCATGGCTTTGCCCTGAGTTCATAGATAAAAAGATAAGACCCTTCTGATCCTGAGCTGCTCCCGTGAATGGAGGACGGACTGGTTCTACTGGCACTTGCAATCGCTGGCCACAGCAGGTTTAGAACCAGGCGCCTGGGAGCCGCCTTTCAAGGTGACCTCCAAACAAGAGCTGAAAGACAAACCCACCTAGGAGACAGAGTTGCAGGAAGGTAAACTGAATATTGGGCCACATGCCACAGGACCAACTTGAGGACTTAGATTTTTTAGAAAGAGAAAAAAAATAAAAACATTCTTTTGTGTAATTAACATGGCTTTGGACCTTGGAAAAACAGATTAGATTTTTATTTTCAACTCTCAATAACGTGGGGATAAAAATATTACGTCTTTTGCATCAGAAATTTGAGACATAATGAAAAATTGAGAAATAGGACTTCCAGGAAAAGAATGAAATGTCAGCTTGAGGAAATCCAATAAAGCAATTCACATATTAATAAATTAAAAGAGAATAATCAAATGATCTCACTAGATGCTGAAGGGACACTTGAAGAATTCAATGTGCATTCCTCATTTTATTTTATTTTTTTATTTATACAAGAGCTGGGGTACAGGCCAGAGATGCAGGAGGGTGAGAGGATTCACCGGAGACAGACCAGGGAGCAGAACAGACAGAAGGACCGAAATACACTGCGGAAGGGAGCAGCAGGCGAGACAGGAGAGGTCTGCCGCGCCGTGTGGGAATCTCCCTGGCCGGCCAGAAATCGAACCCGTGCTGCAGAGGCTGCGGACAGCTTCACAGTGCTGGGCTCAACCTGCTGTGCCACCAGGGAGGCCCTGCATTCTTCATTTTAAAAGAAAGTGTGAATAAGCTTTGGTAAAGGCAGAAGCCACCGCAAATATCATAATAACGAGACATTAGGCGATTCCCTTTGAAGATGGGGACAGGTCAGGAATTCCACGGTCACCAAATTAGTACGCGTTTTTGTTTCACAGGATGCTCAGAAGCATATTCCGACTGAATTGAAATTCAAGTGTGATGTGTGAGTCTCACCCCAGGGAACTGAGGGAGATGAACAGGTTTTGAGTTTTTTACTCTACATACCTCTGTATTATAAGAATTAAAAAAAAAAAAACAACAACAGCAAGTACATTATTTATAGTGTAAAAACTAACTATACGGAGAAATCGGGTTTACAGAATGTGTAGACTGTTTCTGTGAGCAGACATTAGGATGCAACCGAGGTAGGTAGAAGCGTTTAGGACTTTCGATCCCTTGTTTTTATCACACGCAGGGGAATTGTTTTCTCATGGAGAAGATATTTATTTCTTTAAATGGCACTGAACATCATTTATGCTTCTCATTAAAAAAAAAAAAACACACAACAAAAACACGGGGTTGTGTTATCCCATCAGGAAGGGCAGGTCTTCACGGGATGAGGGAGAGAGTTCTGGCCAGCGGGGAGGGCCCCAACTTAGCAGTGATGAGAGGGCTCCCCAGGACCGTGATGACCAAGTCCCTGCCAGGGAGCATCTTGGAGATGGAGGGGTCCTGGCTGACAGATGTGGGCTTCTCCGTGCCCTCACGCTCCTGGGGACCCCATCCACGTGCTGGCGTCCTCAGCAGCGTGGCACGGTGCCGGCTACGGAGGTTGATCAGTACTTGGGGGTTGTTCTTGACCGACTGTGTGAGCATGAAGGGTGGGTGCGAGTTTGAGGCCTCCTTCTCCCCCTACCCTGCTTCTGTTTCCCCCCTGGGGCATCTCCGTCTTGGGCATTCGGACAAGGCTCAGGGGGGCCTTGCTGTGCCCCCCAGGTCACTCTGTCTCCACCTTCTTGCTTCTCATCTTGGAACAGTTGCCTGCTGGGAGGAACTCAGTGATATGCCGGGAAAAGGAAACCGTTCACAGGCGTGGCTGGTTGGTTGGAGATGCTGTGAGTGTGATGGCTGTTGTGAGCTCTCGAACAATAGAGATCGATTCCTTTCTTCCTTCCTCTCTCCTTTCCCTTCCCCTTTCTTCTCGTCAATATTTTTGCTCTTGGGCAGGCCAGGGAAGGAGGGCAGGAAATTGAGTGACGCAGTGATATCACAGGTATGGGGCGGAGGTGGGCCTGGCAGTGCACTGCACATCCTTGAGTTTCCAGCACCCTTAGGGCATTGCAATGACCTCAGTCAATCTGGAGGACACCAGTTGGGAGGTAAAGGGACGAATCTGGGACTAGTGACGGGGAAGGCGCCTGGGGGAGGGGTGTGCCTGGCCCATCACATTCTAGGATTCTAGGTGGAGAGGTGCAGGGAGGGGCTGGAACAGTGACAGGAGCTTAAGAACCATGCTCTCTGCCCAGGGGAGCTGCAGATCCCCCAGACTTGTGGGATTCTCCAGAAAGATCTTTTTCTGAGAGTGATTCAAGAGACATTTTGAATTATTTCTCCAGAAGATGGTTTGGTTAATCAGAATTAAAGAATTGTATCAAAGAAGTAAAGAATTCAGAGAGAAGGATACAGGTCCAATGGGAAGAACTGATGACCACAAACCTGTTGACAAAGGTGAAATCCTTCGCTTCCTAAGGCAGGTTGTTCACTGTTTCCAATGTGAAGTTG